GGGCCAGCCGGCACTCTCCTGCTGGCTCTCCTGGGTGCGGTGAGCGCAGCATCCTCCCCACCCCAGTGCAGAATGTCTGGGCCCAGCCCTGGGTTCAAATGCTCCCCTCTCCTTTCCCCCCAAGTGACCTCGGAAACTGCTCCCTGCTCTGAGGCTCGGATCCCTCCTCTGCAAATGGGGGGTCCCCACAGCCCCCAGCCCTCAGAGTTCTCAGGATGAAACGGGGACGTGCTGGGTGTAAACACCGCAGAACACAGTGCCAGGTCCTCCGGGTTCCCACGCCCTGTCTCCAAGAATCCGCTCCCGTAAAGGCGCCCCCTCCACCTCCGCTCTCCTGTCGTCCAGCACGCACCGACTGACTTGCCGCAGACGAGGCTGACGGCGTTGAGCGCCCCGGACGAGGAGCCGTAGACGCGGCGGGCGCCCTGGAGGAGGCGCGGGGCGCGCTGGCGCAGGCATTCGGTCACGCCCACGTGGTAGAGACCCAAGTAGCCGGCGCCAGCGAACGACAGGTTCCAGCTGCCCTCCTCCTCCAAGAAGCCCATGGCTAGCGGGGGCTGGAGGGAGTGAGCGTGGACCGGGAAGTGGGGTCGATGATGGATCGGGCTTGGATCCGGCAGGCTCCCTCACCGGTCAGGGATGGGACCACAATGCGTGCTGGACGGAGACAGGCTCAGTTGTGTCGCGCTGGCAAGACCCCGGCCGAACCTGCTACACCCCCCCCGCCCCGCCCCCCAGGCGTGTCAGCCGTCGCCCCAGCCAATGAAGTTTCGGGGCCTCGGTCACCCCCCCCAGCTGTGTGCCAGGTGCGTGCCCGGTGTGCCCCAGAAGTGCCACCCCCACACGCCTCTTCTGACCCAAATCGCCGGCACTGATTTCTGGGTGACACGGCTGGAGAGTGGGGACCAGATCTTCCGCCTGCTCTCTGGTAGTCTTGGCAGGATTCCAGCCCTAGCATTAGAAGTGAGGTGCAGCCCGGGGACAGTAACAACCAGAAAGTGGTGGACCTGGATTCACAACACCTGACCCATGGATCCTGGGGTCCAACTGGGTTTAAGTCTGCAGCTGTGCAGCTGTTCAGGGAGGAGAGGAGACGCCTAGGAGGCAGAAGGCACGGGGGGACCAGACCCAGCCCAGGCCCAGCTTTCCCCAGACTCCTCACTCTCTCTGGGCAGTTTTTCAGTCTAATATGAGAGACTTGGATGTGAGGACCTACCAATTCTGTGCTGATCGCTGCCCCTGAAAACACAGACCCACCATCAAGAGACCATCCCTAGGGGACAGACCAATGGCAGGGGACAGTGAGCTCCAGGGTGGCAGCAGCTGCCCCCTGCCTGCTAAGTATGTGAGTAGGGACCACTGTGTCCTCGGTCCGGGGTGCAGGGAGCCTGAGCTCTGGAGAGGCTAAGACACCCCCACAGCCAGGAAGTGCCTCCAAGATAACTTGTCCACAGCCTTGTCACCTGGACGGTGGTTCTGGAAGTCAAGCCAGGGCAACAGAAGAAATTCAGTACTCAAAAAAGTTCTCCAACGGGTCCACAGGGTGACGCAGAAGATGGGGCTGAGGCAACGTTGCTGTGGGTGGTGGGCAGAGACTTTCCCCTGCAACTAGGGGGCAGGATGAGTGCAACACAGTGGCGCACTCCACAGACCATCAGAGGGCCTGGCAAGGGCAGAACGAGGCTTCCTGCATGCCGCCATCGATGCCAACATTTTAAAGACACTCTCTCCACATGACTATGTATTTTGAAAATAATACAGATAATTACCTGGAAAGACATATGTTAAATAAAATAGAGCATGTGGCTAGGAGAATGGAAGGCAAGGGAAGGAGGGGGAGGGGGAAGAGGTAATGCATACAATACCAAGATAAAATTGGGCATGTTCTACAGAAAACCAAACACCGCCTGTTCTCGCTTATAAGTGGGAGTTAAACTAAGGCTCTATAGAGGCAGATGGACACTGGAGACTCAGAAGGCGGAGGGAGAAAGGGGGCGGAGAGACAAAAAAAAATCACCTATTTGGGAACAAAGTGCACAGGTGGGGGTGGTGGGCACTCTTAAAGCCCAGACCAATAACTATTTGTATCCCCTAAAGCTATTTAAAAGACATTTTTTTAAAGAGCATGTTCTAGCCGGGCTTGGTGGCTCAGCCTATAATCCCGCGCTTTGGGAGGCTGAGGTGAGTGGATTGCCTGAGCCCGCGGGTTCGAGAGCCGCCTGGGCAACTTGGCAATTTTTCACCTCTACAATAAATCAAAAAATTAGCTGGGTGTGGTAGCACACGCCTGTAGTTCCAGCTACTTGGAAGGCTGAGGCGGAAGGATCGCCAGAGCCCAGCAGGTCGAGGCTGCGGTGGCCGGGAGTGGCCACTGCACTCCAGTCTGGGCAACAGAGTGAGACTCCAACTCAAAAAAAAAAAAAAAAAGAGCATGTTCCAAAAAGAAGGGAGATGGAGAGACAGAAACAGCAGAGCTGGACTTGAACCCAGGCCAAGTGGACTTGAACCTGAAACTCAGGCTCTTCCCTGCACCACCCCCAGGAGTGAGTAGGGAAGACCCTCATAGACGCACGTAACTCTTCTCCAGACTACAGGGTACTTGGAGGCCTCTTTCCATGGCAGTGGGGGGTTGTTGGGTCAAGAGAGGCCTTATGGGGAGGGCCTCTGAAGGTTGGCAACTCATCTATGCAAGTAGGTACTTCCTACCCTGCACTGGGCTAAGTGCTTTTCCTAGGCTATCTTATTTCATCTTTGCAACAGTCTTGTGAGGTAGAATTACCAATCCCATCTTACAGATGAAGAACTGAGACGTAAACCAGGAGGAACCCAGGAGAGCCCAGCTGGCCTCTGTGTTGCCCTGAGAGAAGAGAAGGGGTGGGGGCAAGAGTAGTTGTGGGTGGGTCTATGGGCTAGGCTGGAGGAGTTCATGGGGCCCCGGCTGAGGGCATGGGGTTTTACTCCTTGGGGAGTGGTGTCTTCTCTGCAGGACTTGGGGCACAACAGTGCTTCTCAGAGGTCCTTCTGGAAGACTGAGTGTGGACAGGTTGGGGACCGCAGCACAGCAAAAATGTGTGGTTAGGTGACAAATACAAAATGCAAAACACTATGTGGAAGATGCTACCTTTTGTAAAAGAAGGGGAGCCGGGCTCGGTGGTTCAGCCTGCAATCCTTCGCCTTGGGAGGCTGAGGTGAGTGGATTGCCTGAGCCCGCGGGTTCAAGACCCACCTGGGCAGCGAGACCTCATCTCTACAATAAATCAAAAGGATCACCGGAGCCCAACAGGCGAGGCCGCGGTGGCCAGGAGCGGCCACTGCACTCCAGTCTGGGCGACAGGGTGAGACTCCAACTAAAAAAAAAAAAAGAAAGAAAGAAAGAAGGGGAAATAAGAAAATATTCATGTACCATCCCTGGGGAACTGGTCAATGGCAGGGGACTGCAGGCTCCAGGCTGGCGGCAGCTGCCCTTCCCCCCACTGCCCTAAGTGTGTGCGGAGGGACTACTGTGTCTTCAGTCCTGGATGGGAGGAGACTGAGCCCTGGATTTTTTTTTTTCCCCTTTTTCTTTTTGAAGAAAAAAGAGGCACCAAAAGGATGAGCTGGGAATTCGTTATTAGTATTTACAAGGGATGGATGGGAATGGTGAAAGGATGGAAATGAATACTTTTGGGGGGATGTGCTAGTTGTAAACACCACAGAACACAGTGCCAGGCATGAATAAAGTTGACTTTTAAGTCGCCTTAATGCTTTATACACTAAAAAAGAAAACAATCATCAAGATTACCAGGGAGGGGGAACCCTTAAATGGGGGCCAGATGTGGCGGCTCATATCTATAATCCCAGTACTTTGGGAGCCCAAGGGAGGAGGATTGCTTGAGTTCAGCGGTTCAAGACCAGCCTGGACAACATAGCGAGACCTCGTCTCTACCAAAAATTAGCCGGGGTGTGGTAGCACGTGCCTGTAGTTCCAGTTACTTGGGAAGCTGAGGTGAAAGGATAGACAGAGCCCAAGAGGTCGAGGCAGTGGTGAGCCGTGATAGAGCCACTGCACTCTAGCCTGGGCAGCAGAGTCAGACCCCCAGTTCAAAAACAAACAAACAAACAAACAAAACCCTTAAATTGGAATACAAGCAGAAACAAATGAACCTAACTATATTTCAAATTCATAACATAACCACACCACATGGAGACAGATAGAGTGTATGAACCCAAGTAGCTTTTGAACACAAAGCCTTCGACTAAAGCCTTGAGGTTAAAAACAAAAGGACTACAAACAAACATTGACCTCTACTTTTCGTGGTAGTATGGTAAGTGATTCTAGCAAGATGGTGAAACTGTTTTTGGTGATTTTGCAGGGATGAGCCAAGAGAAAATATCTTGAGGATGATAGATGTCAGGGCTGTCACTGTAGGAGACAGGAGTTACAAGTACGAAAAGACAGAGGCTAGAGCGAACCCTGAATCGGAATAGAGTGGATCAGCATGAATTTGTGGTTACACTGATGGATATGCAAGATAGTGATATGCATGTCTAATATTCTTACATATTTTATTTATTTATTTTTGTAAAGCTCTATCTTCTGAGAAAGCCTAGAAGCAAAAATACCCCAAAATGAATGAGTTCACTTAGCAGATCTTTGTTTCTAAATGCCATTTCACACAAAAACCAACGAAAAAGATCAATTGCAGGGCTCGGCAGGACAAGCACAGAATGAGACTGGGCAATCTTATTACATCAGAAAGTAAGGACATGCTGGAGAAAGAATGGGGATTTGTCACAAGAACCCTGGAGCCAGCTTGAAGAGAGTTTCACTGGCTAACCCTGGCACAATTTGAGCATCATACCAAATAATGTTAATAACAGAATGTTCGTGGAATAAAATAGTAATCTCTGGGTCCATACTGATACAAATAGATCAGTGAGAAAATAAACAGGGAAGAAGAAAAAGCTCCCCCTTGAGTAAAATACTAAATAATAATTGTAGACAGTAATATGAGAATGAAAAATCATGATTTTGCAAGATTCTTGATAATAAGTGATTCAAAGAATCCTCAGCAGAGGTTAAATCTGGTAGGGAACACAAATAGGATATTGACATATTTTCAAAGTATTGCCTTTACAAATTACTGTTAATTACAGAAGTAAAAATAGGTCTTAGTAGATTGACCCTGCAAATACACTTTAACCAAATAATGAATGTTCTCATCACCAGTAACCGGACAGTCTGACATCTTGAGCTTCCTAATATGATCCCCGGAGGAGGATGAACATTACATGAAAGACACAATAATGACCCTCCAAAGATGTCTACATCCTAATACTCAGAACCCGAGTGTGTTATAATACATGTCAGAAACATACTTAGCAGATGTGATTAAATATCTTAGAACAGGGAGATTATTCTAGATTATCTGTGTGGACCTAATCACAGGGGTCCTTGAAAGCTGAAAGAAGAAAGCAGAAGAGTCAAAAAGAAATGGAAACATAGTGCAACCATGCTGTTTTTGAAAGAGGAAGGGGCCATGAGCCAAGGAATATGGGTGGCTTC